TAGGGTGTGTGACTGTCAAGAGAGGAAATATCATGAGAAACACGATTGCTGGAACCAGTATCGGGAAGCCACGTGGTGGAGGTAGACTGAAAGCGATTTCAGCATAGTTGGTTGTTGGCGAGAGCGGATGGTGGTCAGGTTTCGGTTGGGGCATTAGGAAGGAATATGCCCGATGCCACACCGGTTGCAAGTACCATACATCGTGTTTTGCGAAGACACCCAAGGGAGTTGGTTGGTTCGGCTTCCTCTTGATGGTTGAGTGTAGTTGCCTCGGCCACGACGGTTTTTTGAAGTGCGACCTTGAGAAGATGAAGGATGGTTGGTATAAAAGGTGGTAGCGAAGGCTTGTACGGGTGCAACTGCAAGTATAACTATCTTTACCATAAAATCATGATCAATGAGAAGACCATTAAGCTCTTGGAAGGAGGTGGGGACTTGTCGAGCCATGAGGGTAGACTTTAACCCATTGTATTCCTCACGAAGACCAAATATCACAAGCATGACAAGGTCTTCCACTTTAACAAGTTCACCAATGTTGGCTAGGGCATCAGAGTATTATTGAGCACGTAGGAGGTATATAGAGGCTGCTGCATCAGGTTTCATATCGATTTTGTGAAGCTATGTTTTAAGGATATACTCTCTAGATGAAGATTGAGGAGCATAGGCTTGTTGTAGAGAGAGCCAAAGGTCCTTGGCTGTCGTTCCTTGTGCATGAGGGTATGATGCTTCAAAGATGGTGGATAATAGAAGCATACATACATGAGCATCATTAGCAAGCCATGCAGTGTAGGAGGGGTTTGGTGTAAGGTCTGCGGTTGTAGCTTTGTCAGTCGCTAGAAGGGTTTGAGTGGGACACGTAATAGTGTCATCGATATACCCAAAAAGATTGTTGGTAACAAGGAACGGCTGAATCATAATCTTCCAGAAACCATAATTAGTAGGAGATAGGGTAAAAGGGAACTTATGAGAATTGTGTGAGGTGTTCTCGGTTGTGGAGAAGGCATTGATGGTCGCCATCTATTGATCAGTTGTGAAGATCGTCCCAGACTTGTGTGAATTGGATCTGATCGGCGGCTATGTCTGTAACCTAGGGATGACTCAAAAAATTAGCTCTGATACCAATGTAACTTGGTAAATAAGTTGTATTGATTGAATTGTATATGTATGTGTGTATGTGTATGTGTGTATGTGTATGTGTATGTGTATGTATGTATATTTGTATATATAGATATATATATATATATGTGTATGTGTGTATTTGAATGCGTATGTGCACATGACTTTATGAATGATATTAATAGCTATAAGTTGGTGAAAATATAGATAATCATGTATAATAATGGTGATGATGGTGATGATGATGATATGGTGATGATGATGATGATGATGATGATGATGATGATGGATGATGATGATGATGATGGTGATGATGGTGATGATGATGGTGGTGGTGGTGGTGGTGATGATGATGATGATGATGATGATGGTGGTGATGGTGATGATGATGATGCTGATGTTGGTGGTGGTGGTGATGATGATGATGATGGTGATGATGGTGATGATGATGATGATGATGATGATGATGGTGGTGGTGGTGATGGTGATGGTGATGGTGATGGTGATGATGATGGTGGTGTGATGATGGTGGTGGTGATGGTGATGTTGGTGATGATGATGGTGGTGTGATGGTGATGGTGGTGATGATGATGGTGGTGTGTGTGATTGATGATGATGATGATGGTGTGGTGGTGGTGGTGGTGATGATGATGGTGGTGTGATGGTGGTGGTGGTGATGGTGGTGATGGTGATGGAGGTGATGATGATGGTGGTGTGATGGTGATGGCGGTGATGATGATGGTGATGGTGATGGTGGTGATGGTGATGGTGATGGTGATGGTGATGGTGATGGTAATGATGGTGATGGTAATGGTGATGGTGGTGATGGTGATGGTGATGGTGATGGAGATGGTGATGGTGGTGATGGTGGTGGTGGTGATGGTGATGGTGATTGTGATGGTGGTGTGATGATGGTGGTGGTGATGGTGGTGATGGTGATGGTGGTGATGATGATGGTGGTGTGATGGTGATGATGATGATGATGATGGTGGTGGTGGTGGTGATGATGATGATGATGATGATGGTGGTGATCATGATTATGATGATGATGATGATGGTGGTGGTGGTGGTGGTGGTGATGATGATGATGATGATGATGGTGGTGATGATGGTGATGGTGATGATGATGATGATGGTGGTGGTGGTGGTGGTGGTGGTGATGATGATGATGATGATGATAGTGGTGTGGTGGTGATGATGATGATGATGATGGTTGTGGTGATGATGATGATGGTGGTGGTGATGATGATGATGATGATGATGATGGTGATGGTGGTGATGGTGGTGATGGTGATGATGGTGATGATGATGATGATGATGGTGATGATGATGATGATGATGTAGGTATAGGTGTTTGTGAGATGTATATGAACGTATTCATAAGCATTATAGTGTTAAACCAGTAAACGAATAATGGATCCCGTATGTGTACACGGCTTTATGAATGATATTAATAGCTATAAGTTGGTGAAAATATAGATAACCATGTATAATAGAGGTGTAAAAAAAACGGAGCGAAAAAAACGACGTTTGGTGGCCGAAAAATCGAAAATAAGAAAAATCCGTAGCTAATCCGTAGCTAATTAGCTACGGATTAGCTACGGATTTTTCTTATTTTCGATTTTTCGGCCACCAAACGTCGTTTTTTCGCTCCGTATTCTTCACACCTCTATTATACATGATTATCTATATTTTCACAAATTTATAGCTGTTAATATCATTTATAAAGCCGTGTGCACATACGGGATCCATTGCTCGTTTAATGGTTTAACACTATAATGCTTATGAATACATACACATACATATCACAAACACGTATACATACACATATACACGTACACATATACCACAAACTCATTCATGTATATAAATATACATATACAAACATAATCCATCACAAGTTGGTGAAAAGTATAGACATTATAATGTTAAATTGTGAAAATGGTACTTGATCCTGAAGGGGCACACGACTTTATGAACGATATTAATAGCTACAAGTTGGTGAAAATAAAGATAATCATGTATACTCGAGGTGTGAAAAAAACGAAGCGAAAAAAACGACGTTTGGTGCCCGAAAAATTGAAAATAAGAAAAATCTGTAGGTAATCCGTAGCTACTTAGCTACGGATTAGCTACGGAATTCTAACGGAAAACATACTCCGTAGCTAATCCGTAGGTAATTAGTATCCGTAGGTATTCCGTAGCTAATTAGCTACGGAATAACTACGGATTTGCATTTGTAGGTATTCCGTAGCTAATTAGCTACAGAATAGATACATACCCGCATCCGTAGCTATTCCGTAGCTATTCCAGGGCATCCCATTCTGTAGCTGATCCGTAGAGATTCCGTAGCAAGCCATTCCTTGGCTGTCGTTCCTTGTGCATGAGGGTATGATGCTTCAAAGATGGTGGATAATAGAAGCATACATACATGAACATCATTAACAAGCCATGCAGTGTAGGAGGGGTTTGGTGTAAGGTCTGCGGTGGTAGCTTTGTCAGCCGCTAGAAGGGTTTGAGTGGGACACGTAATAGTGTCATCGATATACCCAAAAAGATTGTTGGTAACAAGGAACGGCTGAATCATAATCTTCCAGAAACCATAATTAGTACGAGATAGGGTAAAAGGGAACTTATGAGAATTGTGTGAGGTGTTTCGGTTGTGGAGAAGGCATTGATGGTCGCCATCTATTGACTAGTTGTGAAGATCGTCCCAGACTTGTGTGAATTGGATCTGATCGGCGGCTATGTCTGTAACCTAGGGCTGACTCAAAAATTAGCTCTGATACCGATATAACTTGGTAAAAAGTTGTATTGATTGAATTGTATATTAGATTACACAATGAGTATATATATATATATATCTATATATATATATATATATATATATATATATATATATATATATATATATATATATATATATATATTATATATATACAACTTCAACCCTATGCTCATAATAATTTGTCTAATAAACCATATGTGCCCCAAGGTCATAGTGTCATCGGATGGTATTGTATACATGTTTCATCCATACATATTGTCCACATGCTTTATTATGAACCCACGACTAGCAAATTTTGGGATCTACTATATGGTCGAGATGCGAAAGATGGGAGTTACTTAACAGAGAAAATAAGAGTTGGAAACTAATTGTCAAATTATGTTATAAAATATTGTTATTAGTTCCGTTATGTTATCTTATAAATATAATTTCAACGTATTGTAACATGGATGTTTCTGTTGTTGGAGAGGTGCCTAATAGATGTGTTGTAGACGATAATGCCACCTATGTTTTTTTATTTCTAACTGGGTCAAAATTGAGAAAAATCACTACTAGAAAACTAAGGCAATAGCTACGGCACAATCCGTAGGTATTCCGTAGGTATAAGGCAATAACTACGGATTTGCTACGGAAAATGGCCTATAGCATAAATGCCCGTGGGAAATTTGTACCTACAGATTTGCTACGGACTAGCTACGGAATAGCTACGGCCAATTCCGTAGGTATAATAGCTACAGATTAGCTACGGAAACGAATTGCTACGGAATGCCTACGGATTACTAACGGGAGTCGAGTTTGACTAAAGTTGACTAGTTTCCTACGGAATATCTACGGAAATACATAGCTACAGATTTGCTACGGATTACCGACGGAGCCCACTTTGACTAACATTGACTTTATCACCTACGGATTTCCTACGGCTCACATTACCTACGGATTTTCCGTAGGTAATCCGTAGGTAATTACTTTTTATTTTAAAAAAAAAACAGCAATAAATTATAAAAAATCCAGTTTTTTCTGTCCAAAATATTAAAAAAAAACATTACATTAAACTTATAATAATATTGAAATTCAACCACAAAACAAATAACCTTAC